GTATTAGAAGATATAAATTAACTGCTTAAGTATTAGCAACTTTAGAATTTAGAATACCAGCTAGATAATAGGTGATATAGGAGACTCAAATAGTTAATGGTTCAGATAAAGATTGGACGATAAATATTTAATTGAATTAGAGTGGAGATAATTTATTTTAATGTCCAAATAAGGAATTTATAATAAAAAAGAAATCAACAGGATAATTTCCAATAACATTTCATCCTTTATGGATAGCATAGATTGAAGCTAAATTAATATTGAATAATCTATTAACAAATGATGTATTTGAATATGATTTGGTAGAGATAGGAGAAGAATCAGTAGCAGAGGAACATATAATATTAAATTGTAATGCAAGGAAAGCATTAAAAAGAGATATTGAATTAAGAAACTTGACAGATAAGGAGATAATTTATAAAGTAGAGACCGATTCGATTTATGCAACAGGTCCAATTAGATAAGAATAGGGGCAGGGAAAAAAGGGATTTATTAATTAATAGTATAGCCAATATTATCTGGATAATATACAGGTTCAATAACATTTACAGAGGATAATGGAAGATATCTAAGGTATACTGTATTTATGAATACAGAATCACCAAAATCATTACAGACATTAGATTTATAATGTTTGATTAGATAAGCAACAGTAATATAATTAACATTATCAAATCCACTTTCAGAGACAGCTATTTATGAAGTTATAATAAATGGTGATGGATTGTTAGGAAAAGATTAATTTGCAATTGGTGCTAATAAAGAAGGTTTATATGAATTGACATTTGCACCATTAAAAGTAGGTAGATGGAGAGGAAGTGTAGTAGATAATTAGGGGAAGTATGGTATGAATTTATATTGACTTGTGAAGAATATCCTATCATTAAATTAAATATTTTAAGGGCTTCTTTAGGAAAAGTAGAACAATAAGTAGTTCTATTGGAGAATCCATCAGAATAAAAGATTAATTTATATTGTAGAATAAGCAATCCTACTAATTTTGATATATTACCTGATGAATTAATAATACAACCTTACGATTATTTAAAAGTTAATATAAGAAATACTCCTTCATCATTAGATTAGATTGAATGTTCTTTAAATTCCATATTCTTTTGTTCCTAGAGAAATTACTAGTTGTTATTCAGAAATTATTGTTTAAATGAATGAGAAGATATCTTGGATCTTTCCAATCAAAGGTGTTACTGAAAGTATTTCTACTTAAACTCTATTTCATTTCAAATCTAAATGTAGAGATAAATGGGAAGATGAAATCAAAATTGGCTTATAAGAAATTGATTAAAGTTTATAAGCTGATGATAAATTTGAATTAGGTAGTGTACCTGTTGATTTACATTAAATGATTTTAAAATGTTTTAGTGTTAAATGTACTAAAAATTAGTTAAACAATCCTCCTGAAAATCTTCACTATGCTGTACGTTTTTCACCTATGAAACCTTTTAAAGAAGTCTAGAATTCATTGTATTAAGATAAAGTGGTGGTAGATGGAAGTATTATTTATATATTATAATTAATTTTAGATACAAAATTATTTTAGAAGCAACACCACCAGATGAAGATGATGTTATAATTATTAACTCACCTTTAAATAAAACTACTAATGTCTCATTTAAATTAACGAATAAAACTAAAAATTATGCCAAATTCTTTGCAGGTTTTACTCCAGATTCAGATGCAGAATTTTCTATCATACCTAAAGTGGGTGATCTAGAACCTTATGGAAGAGAAGGAACTACCTTTGTGATTTCATTTACACCTATAGAATGCAAATTAACCATTCAAACTGTTGAGATGTATTGGTACTTCAATCTTTATTACCTTATAGGTCATACATCATTAAAGGAATTCTTACCAAGATATGTACCACCTCAAATCAAACATTCTTCTATTGATACTCATTTAAGTAGATCTCTCATATAACAATCGTCTCTTATTGATTTATCAAAGAATTTTGTCAATAATAATATTAAAAAAGCAAGATAGTTAACTCCCCCTTCATAAATAAATAAATCTTAGCAGAAGCATCCTTTATTAAAAAATGATTCATACCATCATTACAATATTTATACACAACATCTACTTAATCTTATTTTTATACAATTATTTTGTAAAATTGATGCATCTAAATTTTTACTGTTTTTCAATTATATTTCCTTTGATCAATCTTGAATTTCTAAACATTTTAAATTATTTTATTATCATTTTACAAAGGCAAACTATTTANATAAGAAATACTCCTTCATCATTAGATTAGATTGAATGTTCTTTAAATTCCATATTCTTTTGTTCCTAGAGAAATTACTAGTTGTTATTCAGAAATTATTGTTTAAATGAATGAGAAGATATCTTGGATCTTTCCAATCAAAGGTGTTACTGAAAGTATTTCTACTTAAACTCTATTTCATTTCAAATCTAAATGTAGAGATAAATGGGAAGATGAAATCAAAATTGGCTTATAAGAAATTGATTAAAGTTTATAAGCTGATGATAAATTTGAATTAGGTAGTGTACCTGTTGATTTACATTAAATGATTTTAAAATGTTTTAGTGTTAAATGTACTAAAAATTAGTTAAACAATCCTCCTGAAAATCTTCACTATGCTGTACGTTTTTCACCTATGAAACCTTTTAAAGAAGTCTAGAATTCATTGTATTAAGATAAAGTGGTGGTAGATGGAAGTATTATTTATATATTATAATTAATTTTAGATACAAAATTATTTTAGAAGCAACACCACCAGATGAAGATGATGTTATAATTATTAACTCACCTTTAAATAAAACTACTAATGTCTCATTTAAATTAACGAATAAAACTAAAAATTATGCCAAATTCTTTGCAGGTTTTACTCCAGATTCAGATGCAGAATTTTCTATCATACCTAAAGTGGGTGATCTAGAACCTTATGGAAGAGAAGGAACTACCTTTGTGATTTCATTTACACCTATAGAATGCAAATTAACCATTCAAACTGTTGAGATGTATTGGTACTTCAATCTTTATTACCTTATAGGTCATACATCATTAAAGGAATTCTTACCAAGATATGTACCACCTCAAATCAAACATTCTTCTATTGATACTCATTTAAGTAGATCTCTCATATAACAATCGTCTCTTATTGATTTATCAAAGAATTTTGTCAATAATAATATTAAAAAAGCAAGATAGTTAACTCCCCCTTCATAAATAAATAAATCTTAGCAGAAGCATCCTTTATTAAAAAATGATTCATACCATCATTACAATATTTATACACAACATCTACTTAATCTTATTTTTATACAATTATTTTGTAAAATTGATGCATCTAAATTTTTACTGTTTTTCAATTATATTTCCTTTGATCAATCTTGAATTTCTAAACATTTTAAATTATTTTATTATCATTTTACAAAGGCAAACTATTTACTATTCTGTTAACTTTAAATTAATGATGGAATTATTTATATTAGTCAAATTACTACTCATTATTTTTAAATCTGCAATCCATTAAAGTAATAAAATCAAAAATGAATAAATTTATCATTCAGTAATTCATCAATAGCTTCCCTCTATCTCCACTCTTGATATTTCGATATAAATATTTTAAGTTTTTCATAAAAATGCAAAGGATTTACATCTCTTTTTAGATTATCTCATTTATAACTTTTATCTCTATCATTAATTGGAAGGATTTGTCAAATAGAAAAGTAAGTCAAGTTATTAAGAATAAAGTTTAAAATTAAGTGGAGGAGAAGAGCTTGAAATTGCATTCTTATTGAGAAAAAATTTAATAAGTGTTTCAATTCATTTAAAAATAATATTTATCATTTTATCATCATTTCATCATTTAAATTATAATAATTTTAAGGAAATCTCTCCTATTATTAAATTCTTGAAAATCAATGAGGGAAATTTTTGTTTTATAGTTAGGGGGTTTCGGAATTAAAATGGGAATGAATTTTTGGGAAGAAATGCTAAAGGATAGTGATTTTTGTAACGATTAAGTCATTTAAAGTAACAATCATTTACTTAATACTTCTAATCTTGTGTATTATAATTTACACGAAAAGAAGGCATTTCCTAGGTGTCTTTAGGTTGATTTAGGGCAAGATTTACCTTATACAAATATGGATTTTAATCCATGTAATCAATTTTCATTTAATTATTCTTCTGGTAATAATTTTGGATTTGTAAAAAATAATTGCTCAAATGAAATTATTGATATTCTTTTAGATAGTATACGATCAGAAATAGAATAGTGTGATTCATTTTAAGGATTTTAAATATTTGCATCTATTATAGGAGGTACAGGTTCTGGGTTATCTGCTATTTTGTCCCAAAAATTAAAAGAAGAATATAGTAATGTAATCACATAATGCAACCTACTGGTTCCTTCAATAAAATAAGACGATTTATGTGTTGTTTCTCCTTATAATTCTTCTTTAAGCTTTGATATGCTAATGGATTCTGCAGAATAATTAATTTTTTATGATAATTAAGGACTTTAATAAAATTTAAATAGATTAGGAATTTAATTCAATTATGATGATGCAAATCTTCTTGTTTCTTAAACAATATGTTGTAATTCTTCTCCATTTAGAAATCCTGGAGATATAAATTCAAGTATGAGAAAACTTTCAGCAAATTTAACTCCCTATCCAGACTAAAAATTATTTACATGCAGTTTGACAAATAATCAATATAGTGATTACTATAAAGAATATTTAAAGATGGATGAATATTAAATTTTTAAAGAATTAATGTCAACAGATCACAATTAAGCAAGTACAAATTATTAAAATGTTTGGTTTCTGGCAGCTGCATTAAGTCTAAGAGGAGAAATATCGAATAAAAAAGTTGATTTATACAATTCTCATTTTGAAAATTTTCTTGAAACATAATATAAAAGAAGTTAAAGATGTTTCGGAAAAAAAGCAGAAGGAGGAAATCTGTTTTTAACTAATATTTGTAAAAAAAAGTTATTAAATTATGAATTTATGGGTAGTTCGATTATTAATTCATCAAGCATAGCAGATTCATTGAAAAATTTGGAAGAAAAATTGGGGAAAATGCTAATTCCAAAAGCTTATATGTATAAATATACTTAAGAAGGAATCGATGAATAGGAATTTTTTGATGTTTAATCTAAACTTATAAGTATATATCATCAATATAAAAATATGGACAATGTAGATGTAGATGAAAATAGTGAATATTGGGAATGAAAAATTTAGATTTATTATATAACGATTCGAATTATTCAGGAAAATTAAGTATTTATTATAAAAATTTATGATGATTCCTCAATTCAAACAATAGGATCTAATTATCTTATAGCTATTCGATCATCTTATTCTGATTATTATTTACTGAATATGCTTGGCAATTTTAATTATCTAAGAATGGCTTATCTAGAATCCCTACTAGAAAATTAAGTAACTCTTGAGGATTGAGGTGAACTGGGTGAATAGAGTTGTTAAAATTGTAATTATTACATTTTTACTCTTTTACTAGGTTCAATTAAAATAAGTGGATTATTCAGATTTAATTTCTCTTAATTATTATCTTTACTAAAAGCAGATACACATTCACAATAACTTAAAATTTTTGAAGATTGATGAGATATATTACCTAATATGTCAAGTGATCTTTAAACAATTTTACTTCTATTGGTTTTACAAATTGGTTAATTTTCTGTTTTTAATCTTTATAAATAACTGTCACTTTCTGCAAGATTCAATGATAGATATTGATTAGATTATTTTAATGCATCTTAATAAATCAAATTTGCTTTTTCAAAAGTTTTTTCCATCTATTTTGTCATTTTTTCTAATACTTTCATAGACTATCCTTAACAACAATATAATATAAATCTCTAAAATTAAAAAAAAAATTATTACATCTTCATCTAAAAATAGTACCTTAACTTTTTCAGTTAGACAAACAGCCTTAGTTTCTCTTAATTATTTATTTTATATAATTTCCATAAATCCAAAAACTTATCCTGTAGAATATCTATTGAGAACAATCTATTATTTATGAATCAACTAATTTTTTTTGATTTTAGTATCTTATTTGCTTTTTTGTTGAATTTCAACCATTCCCGAAACAATGAAATAAACACCCTTGATTAATTCTCCTTCTCTAAATATAAGTGTATTCATAGAGTATTCAAAATTTTAAAGATGATATTAAATTAATCCGACATCAGCATCTGACCAATCATTAAAAATGTTAATTGATTTGAGAAACATGAAATTTTTATTTTAAATTCTTGTATAATACTCAGCTAGATGTGTAGTAAAATAAATTACATAAAAATTTATTAAAAGCTTCTCTTGATAATTTAATAAATTAACAATTTTCTGCACATACAATAGTAGCCTACCTAGGTAATGAATTAGTTAAGGCTATTTCTCCAAAACTACCTCCTTACTCTATTTTACCAACTTTCATCATATTTTAATATTTATTTTCAAGCATTTTTTCATCATCTAGATCTTCGAATAAATCTTCATCCTAAATAAGTTATTGATAATACAGATTCATCTCCTTCATCAAATTCTTTTCCTAGATGATGTTTCTTTTCTTACTTCTTATCAAACTTCTTATCAGATTTCTTTTCCTACTTTTCCAATTTCTCATCTCCAAGCCCATTTTTTCTAACTAACACCTTAGATAATAGATTATTTTCTTACCCAAACACTACCTCTTAATATTATATAAAAGTTTTTGCCAATATCACCGCATTTAAAAAGTGTCCTACGAGCAGGTAAATTAATGTATTGCAACTCTTTGTATAAATTCAGCATTTCATCTAAACTTGTTGTCTTCATCATTTCATTAAAATATTTTATAGTTGAAAGTGCTGAAGCTAGCACATTTAAGTCATTTGAATTTCTTTATTTTTGATCCTTAGATAATATCTCAATTATGATCTAATTTTATAAAGCATTACTTCAAAGTGTTATGGATTTTCAATATCAATTTCTCCTCTTTGCAGTAGTTCTTTGACTTGTTGATTCAATTTCATTTATTATTTTAGCTTATCGATATTTGAAATTCGTCTATACATATGTTTAGATTATTAAATATAAAATAATAAAGTCATCCTAGAAAAAGAGTACTAGACGTACTCTTTGTGTATTTTGAGACATATTCATAACTATAGCCACTGAATAAATTTTAGACTGAATTCTTTTTTAGTAATAACTTATTTTCTTTAATTAATTCATCTTAACTATCATTATCTTCACTAATTTAATTCAGATATTCCGCATTATCATCAATTTACTTCTTACTAATAAAAATATACTTTTGGAATATATGGTGATTCAATTTCTTTATTCAATAATTTTTACCAGGGATAATTTCGAAGCCATGGATGATTTTTTACTTCATCAGGTCCTTTAAATCCTAATCTATTTGCAGGTTTTCTTTAAATAAGTTTATTTATAAAATCTGCTGCTTCTACCGACCAATCATCAGGAATTTCAGATCTTTTTATTTATACTTATCTTGTTAAAATTTAATCACGAATTTCTTATCTTGATCTTCCATTATATGGTCTTCTCCCTAACATAAATTCATAACCCATTATTCCTAAGGCAAAATAATCAACTGCTATGGTATGATTTTATCTACACATTACTTCAGGTGCTAATTCATTTAATATTATATATTACCCATATAACCTGGTGTACCACTTGTATCTTAAGAATTCTCTTATTTCCAAACTCTTGCAATTCCTAAATCTGTCAACCTTGCATATCCTTATTTGTCTAAAACTAAATTCTCTGGTTTTAAATCTCTATGAATTATATTATTATTATGTAAGAATTCTAATGCAAGAAATACACAAGCAATAAAAAATTTAGTTTAATGTTCCTTAAATCTTCTCATCTTACCAATATGATATCTAAGATCACCTCCTGTTAATAAATCCATTACTAAATATAGATTCTCTCTATCTTAAAAACAATAATTCATATTAATCAAAAATGGATGTTTAAATTATGCCAAAAGATTTCGCTCATTCATTACTGAATTTACACTTCTTTTAGCTATTATCTTTGCTTTTGACATCTCTTTCATTGCATAATACTATTTACTCTTTTTCATCTCAACTTTCCAAACCTTCCCAAAACCTCCCTTACCAATCACATAATGAAATTAAAAACTATACTTGTTTATTTAGATATTACAATCCACTATCAAAGTTTCCTCTTCGTCACTTGATTAATACTTTTCTTATTATCTTATAATACTCTTTTAATTTTCATTTCTCGAGATATGAGATATATGTTAAATATTTAACATAGAATTAAACAGATTTTCAAACCCTTTATTTTATTTATATTAATTGAGCACCTAAAACTCCTACTTTTTTATCTAAATATGAGGAATCTCATTATTAATTAGTTAATATGGTTTTTCAGCAGGCTTATTTTCTTTTACCAAACTATTTTATTATTTAAATTGATTCTCTGGATATTTGATGTTATGACAACTTCCTTATTTTAAATTAATAAATGGAGATATTTTTTATATTGATGTATTTGGAGATTAGGAATTATTTCTACCTGTATTTCTATTTATTATATCTAAATTATCCAAAAATGCTGGCTTCATAATTGGTGATTAATCTTTAGATTTACTTTATTAATCAATATTTAATGCTTATTAATGATTTAATTAAGAATTGATCAATAATTTTGATGACTTTAATTCCTATTTCAAGAATGTTTAAATAGGACTCCGAGAACTTGTATTTTAGAATAAATAATCTTATTTTTCTTTAAAAAATGAACTACTTCTACTACTATTAATATTTGAAGCACTTTAATTTCGTGAGTGCTTAGATTAAATTTATATTTATGATTGATCCTGTTTTTGTATATTTACTTAAACTATTTTTATTTTTTAAGGTGTAACACTTCTCTATTAGGATTATTTGTTTTTATTTTTCTATGATAATTGAGCTAATTGGAAAAAACTTGTAAATTAACTTAAACCTAATGGAGATTTATGAGTTTATTTTGTTGTTTCGCATTGTTGTTCCTAGCAATATAAATACAATCAATACAATTTTTGGTTTTATATAATTCAATTTTGAGGGAAATAAATCCTTCAAATTGCGGTGGTTAGACATTTTATATATATAAATATATATTTAATTTTTATTATATTAACTAAACAAAAAGAATTAAGGAGTTCAAAAGCTCTCTAATTTTAATAATTTGTTATAGTAGAAAAAGGAAAATTTTAATTTAGATTAGGATAATTGAAGAAAGATATCGAATATTTTTAAACAGACGATTTTAAATATATCCTCTTGATATTTATCATAGAATAATCTTACAAAAATACTGGGTGAAATGAGGAAAGTTTAAGGATGTTACAATAAAAAAAAATATATGAACATTTCGTTTCAATTAAGAAATTCTGAATATCTCAGTCTGAAAATAAATTAACAATTCTTTCAAAGTTGCTAAATTTGTATCAAATTATGGAATCAAGGGATTTTAGAATTTTTTTGTCAATGATATTTAACTTTATATAAATATAATTAAAGAGTTTATTAATAGTTTTAGTAATAAAATAAAGGTTGAAGTTGACCAAAAATATTAATGAAGAAAAAAATGAATAAAAAACTTATTTCATATATTTAAAATTTTTGATTTAATGTACCTGAATAGTAATAGTAATTTCAAGTTATTATTATTTTAATTTAAAATTAAAGAAAATCCTCTAATCACTTTTAGTTAGATCAATAGTATTGTTTATTGCAATTTTTGAAATCATCAATATTGGTACCTAGATAACAAACAATCATAATATAAATTTTCAGGAAGATTTTAATTGAAGTCTAGTAAATTTTATTAAATGCAAAATAAAAAAAAATGTAAATTAGAGTAAATAAATAGATTAGGAGTGTGATTAGGAGGAAAACTAGAAATGAAATGAATTGAATTTTAAAAAAATCATTTTAAATAAAAAATATAATAAATTTATAAATAAATAAAATCGAAAATCATTAATTACAAAAAATAAATAGAATCAATCTTCATCCTCAATCCATCTAATACGTTTACCATCCTCCCACATTCCATGCTTTTCAATTTTATCTACTATAATTTTGCCTTTGCCATGTTATTTACCCTTTTTCCAATTTCCAGAATACCTTTATAATATAAATTATAGATTACTTTTTACCATCAGGCCATGTGAAAGTTCCAAATCCATGTTTTTTATCAAAATAATAATCTCCTTCATATTATTTGCCATCTGGAGTAGTGTATTTACCATGACCATGCATATTATTATCTAACCATTCACCTATATAACATCTTCCATCTTTCCAATGACATACACCATATCCTGTCATTTTATTTTATAACCACAAACCCTAATAAATTTTTCCATCTGGCCAATAATAGGTTCCAGATCCATTTTTCATTCCATATTTGTAGTTTCCCTCATATTTACTTCCATCTACCCAAGTTTCAGTTCCATAACCATGTTATTTATCATCCTTCCATAAACCTTCATATTTAGAACCATCAGCATGAATATAGGTACCATAACCATTTGCTTTATCATTTTCCCATTCTCCATCATCTTAATATTAGTTTTAAAATATTACATATATCACCATCAGCATGTTTAAAGATACCTTTTCCCTAAGCTTTATCATCTTTCCATTATCCTTCATACTAAGCCCCATCTGGCCAAACTTAAGTACCAAAACCATCACGACATATACCAATCCAAAACAAAATATTAAATAATGTTGTACCATTCTCCAGTATATGTTGCTCCATTTTCATAAGTAAATGCTCCTCTTTTATCTCTAGTAACATCTGTTTCTCTTGTTAATGGAGCTATAATCTCAACACTTTTTGGCCTTCTTGAATCACTAGGCAATGCATGTAAATTCTTATCTTCTTAAGGAGTTTCGCAACTTTTACAAGTTCCCATTAAAATATTATCTTAATATTATTTATATATATATAATATTTATCAATCTAAACTTGTTTTCCATTCTATTACTAATTCATTTACTCCACATAGTTAAATCTTTCAATTCTTTCCATCACCTTGATGAATTGTATATTTTACTTATTTATTAATACTTTAATTTCTTTTTCTTTTTCATAGATTTTCTTGGTATTCTATTTAATGTTTAAACCTTTTGTCAATATATTAAAAAATCCCTTTTCTCCTATATTAATCATATGATTTTATTTGCATTTTTTAAAACAATATTAAACAATCAAAAACATAATAATCTAATTTTATATTTCATTATATATCCTGTATTTTTTAATAAATAAAATTAATTTTATTTTTCTGTTTTTATTATTATACTATCTTCTCTTTTAATTTTAAAAATATTTTAATTCTATTTAAAGCAATAAAATGAATTCAAGTTGATTCATAGTTGAAATCTTCAGAAAATTCTCCTTCATCTAAAAATAAGATCTTTTATCTATGCAAATAACAAAATATTATAATAAAAGATGCTTTTTTTATGTTGGAAAATCAATTCTATAGTATTACTAAAAGGGAAATTCATTTTATCATAGATAAATTGATATACAAGTGGATATCTAAACTAAAAAAATAAATTAGTTGATGTTCTAAAACAATCTTCATTGAAGATTAAACTATTGAATTTTACAAAAGGACCTTATTATTTATTGTTATATAACAAATAGATAACTAGCTATACACTTTTTAAAATCTGAAATAAATATAATAATTAAAAAAATCAATGTGTGTAATTTAAATAGTTATCAATAGTGTATTAAAAAGTATTGGAAGAAAGAATAAGAAAATTATTAAACTATTGAAATTATTACAGACTCTAAAAAGTGCTTGAACATCTAAAATTATAAAAATAATTTAATATCATGAAATTAAATTTTACTAACAGAGTTTATTTGGAGGATGAATTTAAATAAGTCATACTAATGAATGG